GGATGTTTGGTATTGAAAATGGGATATACGTTTTAGCATTGCCCTCATATAACGATACCACCATAATCTGTATTTTGGGGATGTAGGGCCCGTTTTTCAACCGAATTGGTTGTAATTAGCTACATTGGGAAACATTTCAAAATCGCGCTCAGATTAGATGGTAATACTCAAGGTGTATTTAATAAGGTGTATGCATCAGCTACAACAACTAACATTTTACAAAAACAACATTGCTGTTATAGAAATTAAATTGTCATGTTGACAATTAGTTTTTGGGAAAAATAAACAAAAACAATTTGATGAATAATTTGTATATTTTTGGCAATTTTAGGTTAGGGAGTAAAGTTGTAGCCCTTGGTTCCTGGTGATGTTGCTTATATTGTAAATTACAATTTTTTTTTCGAAGAATTGCCTTCAAATTTCGCCTCCATAATGAATGTTTGGAGGACATAAATCCCCGGCCAAAGACTAAATCAAGGAAATTGTGTTGCCCTTGTGCAATCTGGCTATAGGAGTATATCAAAGACTTCCACCTTTGGATTGATTTTTGTAGATACCAATAGGCAGATTCCAATATAGGCTACGTATGTGTAGCATGGCACAATTATAAAAGGTAACAGCAAATCCCAGCTGATTTGATTCCAACGTAATACTAGTGTCAATATGAATTTGACAAATTATGTTTTTAAAAATCACCCAAGAGGAAAATTGGGAACGCATACAATTTGAAATTGTTTCTTTTTAAATATGCTCCGGTATTCAATTTACTCAATCTGCCTGCTGGGAAAGTTTGAGGAAGCAAATCTTTCTTCATGGAATAACTCGCAATTCGCTGCATTTTCATATGTGTTACACATATAAGTGGCAATGGCTCAATTATAGGAATGATGTGGAAGCGATAGAAATATAAATTTGATAGATTTTCATTCATGTTTTTCAATTTTTATTTTGAGGATTCAAAAATATTTCATTTTCAAAATAAAAATAATTTGATGATAATTTGTTTGTTTGTTTACATTTTTCTGTCAAATGAGTTGACACTAGTAGAACTTACAACAACAAATTTCCATGTGGTTGTAGTATCGTTTGTTGTACAACAACACTTGCTGTTACCTTCTATTATTATACCATGTATGTGTAGCTAGGATTTATGAACAGATTTCAACACGGGATACAAAACATAAACTATTTGGATCAAATCAGCGAACGGTTTTAAAACTGATTTAAGCCCTTTTCGTCCGTCTCTATGAATATATTTTTTATCAAAATCCTAAATTTAAAGACAATTTTGTAAATCGTAATTAATTGTTAAAAATGTTTTTGACAATTTACTTTACAAACAATAAGGAAAAAAGTCTAAAACCATATGATTGTCACTTACACCTTATTTAATACACCTTGGTAATACAGTATTTTTCGGTTAATTGAACCTACGGTTAATTGGTTTCCACGCTTAATTGAACCACATGATGGGTCAAAAATATTTCATTTCATAGTAAGCGGGTTCGGATAATTGGTTCCTCGGTTAATTGAACAAAGATTTGTGCAAATTTTGATGTGCAATTAACCGAAAATTACTGTACTTTAAAATCAACATAACAGGTAATCAGAAGTTGACATTCTTGTTTACCATTTTTACTCGGACAAATTTTTCGAGTAAAAAGTGGCGTTCTCTGTCATTTTGTTTTGTGTTCCCTTTAATTTGGTTTAATGTTTTAACAATTTTTTAGGTTCAGGAACGGTTTTCGAGTAAAAAGTTTCAAAACTTGTAAAATTAGTAGATTCTTTTCGATTCTGGAACGAAACTAATGTATAGCGAACCTTCCTATGAAAAATAACGTATATTGACCCATGTTTCGGGGTAGCTTCGATATAAGGATACTTCCTAATATTCAGTATTTTGGGTTTTTAAAACGATGTCCGATATGAACCAATCTTTGCACAACTTATTATATTTACCAACCCTAATTCATGTCCGAAGATAGGGCCCATTAGTTCACTCCTCTTAGTACCGTCCCTACAAATGGCAAACATTTTCATTATTTATAAATACAATATCAGGCGAATGGAATGCCCAATTGGAGCCAAACTTTGCATAAATTATTATCTTTATCAAGCCTATATCAAGTCCGAAGGTTGGACGTAGTAGGCCACTCCCTCCAGTACCTCCCTCACAAATGGTCAATATTTTATAAACTTATACATTTAAGGGAATCCCCCATTCACGATTTCAATTTTTCAAGATTTTCAAAGGGCTGGTAAATCAATACCAATGCTTATTAAGGTATGTAACTTTGCATATATATATATATATATTTGAAGATGTACAAAAGAAGAAAAATAATTTATAACAAATTTTTGTTATTGTTTTTTTTTGATAACTCCTCACTGGAACATCGGAATCCGAATACACTCGCAGAGAAACGTGTAAAAATTTGGAATCGATTGAATTATTAGTTTTTGAGTTATCGTGCTCGCCATTCGTTTAGAGAAAAACACGTTTAAAGTTTGAGAAGCCCTTCAGCCGTCACTTGATGCTGACAGAATAAATTGGCTATATCTTCAAGAGTTCTTGAAATTTTCACTTGAAATTGTGTATGGACATTGAATTAGTGTAGATTCGAATTAAAGCAAAAAATTTTTGACCCTGAGAATGGGGGGGTCCCCTTAATTGACTCCAATAGAATAATCGATTTCATTATTATTATTTTGAAATTTTTCTTAAAAAATCTAAGCTATATAGGCCTAAATATTCTTTGGGACCTTTTTTTATTCCACGCCTTATAGGTTCATCAATTCATTTGAAAAGTTTCTTTAAAAATCCACAACTTATAGGTCCATAAACTGTCTAAAATGTTTCTTTTTAACACCGTCGCCGCATAGATCCATAAAAGTGTATGGCATTGCAAAAAAGAACAAAATTGTTTCTATTCACACATCACGATCTTCCAATAACACAAAATATAAACTGAACTATTCGGAGAGCGATGAACTATTAAAAGAACGACCAAAGTAAAACGACAGCTGAATAAAAGAGCTAGAATACCGAACTATTTCAGTCAAAAGAGCTGAACAAACAAGTGCGATCAGCTAATTGAACTAGATAGAACAACTCTAGTTGTGTAGTTTTATGTTTCGCTTTTTCTTTGGTCCGACCGAACTTAATGGCTAAACAGAATGTTCGCGTTGAGCGTTTTTTGTTATCGCGTTAACTCACGCAAAAAGGTAAAATATATTTAACTTCAAAGCGCAGCGCATATCAACTTCATGCGTTAGTGTTATCGTTTCCTTGTGGTTGTTGTATTTTCGATAACACAAAACGCAACGGATGGCTCAACGCGAGCATTCTGCTTAGCCCTAGGTATATTTAAAAAGGTAGCCGCATCGACCCAGCTGTTGGTGCAAATAAATGTCAAAAATGTTGTTGTAATGTTGAACCAAAAAAATAAAAAAACAAAATTATAAATGAAAATCTCCGAATTTCGAAGAGTTTGTTTGGCAATACTTTTATAAACATTTTCTACAAGAATTTGTGTAAAAAAATCATGTCCATCTGTTTGTTTTGTCAAAATATTTTTGACATATCAAAATACAACAACCGACTTGGCTTATGCCATGTACAGACGAGCGTCGTTCGCTCTCTCATTCGTTGTTCCACCCCTAATTATGAAGTAATTACTTAGTTTCCCATACAAAATTTTCTGAGCGAACACCGACTTTTGTACGTTGTTCAATTCGAATCACTCTCTGAATAACCAAGAATTTTGTCCCATCCCTAACAATTGAGAGTATTTATCGAAAATAAGTTAATTTTGACAGTTTGAAAATATTTATGAAATTTTCAAACTTTTTCAGTAAAATTGAAAATGATGAATGAAAAGTAACAAATTGTCTAGTTTTTATATATGCAAAAGGAAGTAAATTTTGTAATCTACATAATGCAATATGCCTTTCCTTCCCTTTTTTCTAATTAGCGTACAAAACGAGAAACAAATGTGGGGAAACCCAAACAAAAATTCTCCAATTTTTTATATGTCACATTTGAATTGAGAAAATATAAAAAATTATTCATAGCAACAATATTTTCAGAAAAAATGGAAAACATGAATTAAAAGTAAATAGATATAGGTTCATACTATAGTCAGGAGAAAGAGAATTATTTTTTCTATTTAGATCCATATGTGATTCACGCAAATATGTTAACATTTTTGTGTAAAACAAGAAACAAAAGTTTGAAATAAAAAAACTCTAATGACATGAATTAAGAATACTGTTGTATGAACGGGTTAATTCATGTACGTAATTCTGAGAGCGAATGCCCGTCAGAACATGGCATTAGCCCTTTAAGGACGTTTCACTTGTTCGATAATCCAATTGTCGCAAATTGTTTTCGATTTCTTTACCAACTCAACATTATAGCGATTAATCGATTAGTTACAATTCGAACTGTATATCCCTACTTTGGTTATTGTCATTCGTGTTTTTATTTTCTACAGATAATTGTTATTAGGTCTGTCTTTTTACTCAATATTTTTTTACAAATATTATTTTATATTGTAATTTTTACTAAAACGTCAGTGAATTTAGAGAAATACTTTATATTTAACGGATGTGTGATAAATACCATACAACTTATTACAATCTTACACAATTTTGTGTTCTTTTTTTAACAAGTCGGCTAGACACATTTCTCTAATCAGCTGTTTTCTATTTATATTTGTTTTCATTCAAATTTCTACTTTTTGCAATATAATTCAGCTACGGGAGAACTTTCAAATTTTCTTTAAACCCCTGAAAAATTAAAAGACCAACCTATTGTAAATCGTAAACATTGTTGCAAAATTTTATTATTATATTCTGGTAAATATGCAAAAAAAACGCACATTTATATAGATAAGGCCGGTAGTCTGTCTGCTCAGACACACGGACATATACATATATTTACGCATTTAAATATATATCCATTGCATTAACTTACTGCTTGCACACACAGATTCTGATTTTTGCATTTCAATGATAAAACGCATCATGACGGACGTAGACGTTAAAGCTGGCATACAACAAATTCTGAAGCGGGTAGATGCAGCCTATGAGCAGAGACCGAAGGTTAGTAGTAAATCAATTGGAATTCAAAAGGAATACATGGTGTATTTTTCATTTGTTGTATTTATAGGAACTTAAGGGCGATAAGCCCCTTTTGGTGGCGGTTAGCAAAACCAAACCCGTTGAAATGATTATCGATGCCTATTCGGTGGGTCAACGCCATTTCGGCGAGAATTATGTTCAGGAATTAGTGGAGAAAAGTCAACATCCCGATATATTGGCCCAGTGTCCTGATATTAAATGGCATTTTATTGGTCATCTACAGACCAATAAAATAAACAAGGTAAGTATTTATTGGATTGTAGATAAGAGAGGAGGTAAATTTAATGTAAACGCATGTTTACAATTTGCGTTTATTGGAATCAAAGCGCTATTCGCAATTTAAATTCGCACATATTTAAATTTAAATAAGTAAAATTTTGAGTAATCAACGTTTTGTGTAGTGTGTGGAGAGTAAAGTGTAATGTTTGTTATATGAACCCGCAAAATTTCTAGGTACAATGTTGTTTTAGGTGCAAGAAATGTAGTTTACGGACACCTCTTAGATCATTTTGATATTCTTACAACAGGTACCAACTGTGATGCTGATTAGAACGACATAACAAAAACATCATACCCCCAATTTTTATATTAAGAATACCACCCCGAAACCTTTGAAATTTTTACTGCAGATAGTCCTTTTGGTGCAGATCACAACCACATAAGGAGAACTTGATACTTCCAGAAATATGAGGTATACAGATTTAAATTCATACCAGGGGTTTAAGGCTTTTTCCTTTATGGTGAAAATGTAATGGTAAAAATTTCAGAATGGTCTGAGAGGTTTCCCTAAAGTGCTTTTAAGCCCAAATTATTTGCTACCTAGAATATTTTTAAACTTGAGAACTTCAAGGGGTGCTTACTATCAGAGCTCCGATTTGATCGATTTTACTCGCGAGTGAAAAATACTCCCGAGTGGGAGTACGAATTTTTTAAGGAGTATACTCTTCACTCTTTTATTTTGTTTGGGAGTGCTCGCGAAGAAAATTATTGAAGAAAAAGAGTGAGAGTTAAAACGTTCGAAATAGAGTAAGAGTTCACTCTAAGAGGGAAATCGAGTGGACAATTAAATTTGATTTTTTGCTTGTTTGTATGTGCGTAGTAGCAAACTGTTAATGTTGTTGTTCTTTTGTGTGATGTGGGGAGATAGATAATATACATCATTACACATGTGACAAGTTACAAACCAAACATCACAAAACAAACAACATCAAATAACGGTATCAAAAAAATAAATAAATAATAATAAAAGAGTACTCTACAAGAGTGGAATCTGCTCGATTTCGAGCGAATTTCACTCCCACTCGAATACGAGCGAAGCACTTGCGCTCTTATTTGAGTGGAAGAGAAAAATAGAGTATACTCGTTTTACTTTTTCTACTCGCAGGAGTACTCCCGCTCGAATTCGAGCAAGTTTCACTCTTTACTCGAATTCGAGCGAGCATTTCGGAGCTCTGCTTACTATTCGTACTCTTGGTTATATGATTAAAGATCTTTAGATAATTTTTCTTAGGCTTAAGTTTACTTGTGGTCTCCTTACATCAGGTAGAATAGGTTTTCATGTTCCGATAATATCACGTTTTATTTTCTTTAAATTCACGGGTTTGAGGAGCTAGTCCATTTTATACTGATTGCAAATAGATTGTACATCTCAGTATATGTTAAATTGGATATGTTGGCATGTTGTATAGTTTTACTACATTTAAAACTAAATATAACAAAAAAATGAAATTGGAATATAATTTTATTCATGTTCCACCACACCACAGTAGATAGTTGTTCACAGGAGAAATTATCAAATCCTATTTAGGAAAAAACAGAAGGAAAAATTAAAAATCTGGTCCGGTAACCTATTTTCTATAGGAAACCTTAATCGGTTTAGAAAATATAATATTTTTAGAATTATTTATTTTTCGTCATTATGTTTTTATGTCACTATATTAGCAATACTTAAGACTTCAAAAGAAATGCATATACAGTAATTTTCGGTTAATTGCACATCAAAATTTGCACAAATCTTTGTTCAATTAACCGAGGAACCAATTATCCGAACCCGCTTACTATGAAATGAAATATTTTTGACCCATCATGTGGTTCAATTAAGCGTGGAAACCAATTAACCGTAGGTTCAATTAACCGAAAAATACTGTATGTATGTAGGTCATTATGTTGTTCATCTTCTCGATGCATTTTATATATACACCTAGCCTAGGATTTTATAGAATAGGTTCAATAATAACTATGAGAAAATTACACATGTGTATCGTTTTAATGAGAAAGAATTTTAAAAATAATTATAGATTATTAATTTACTTTGTATGTAAATATGAAAACATATTAATGCAGACATTTAGTGTCGTTTCATATTGTTACTATCTACAGAGATTAGAATTATGAAAATTTCCGCGCTTCAATCGAGATAACACATTTACAATAAAAGTGCATTTCAGTTATCATTCGTTGTTTAATGAGATTATTTTCTCAATTTTTTTTTATTTAAGATCACAATTATTAATATAATATGTAAGACTAATAAACTTAATTACCTCGATTACGTAGTATCTGATGTATATGAAATACCTACACGTTTGAATGAACAATTTTAGGTATTTAGTTAAATTTAACAAATGTAATAGGAATGTTTCGACGTTTTTAATTTTTGCATACCTGAAAAAAATAAAAAAACTATTAACACATACAATGAAGTTTTTGGCGTCTTCTAAATATTAATATTTATGAAATATAATTATAACTCCTTATATATACTCTTTATGTACACCAAGCAGCTTGTTTACAAGATACGTTACGTTCAATTTTTTTCGCATCGAATCCATTTCAGACAATTCCTTGTCGATTTAGAAATGTCAGTTTGGTGCGCACGATAATTCACAATAGGAGCAACCAATTCGATTCAAATTTAAAGCACCATAATATTTCTTCCAAACTTAAATCAATTTCGAAGATGTAGACCATCGGTCTACTTCTTCTGGTACTTTTAGACATAAAATGAAAAATAAATATAAAATATAAAACGAGCTGAGTATCCGAATCTGATTCCGAATAATTCACATTTGAGACAGAGGATGTCAAGGCAACTACACCATCAGTCAAACAATTTGTTTTGGTTTTTTTTTAAGATTTAAAAATGTTTGGGGCTCACGCATAACACCCCAGCGTTAGGGAGTCGTCCTTTAGGAGAAAAGACCAAGAAACCATAAGTTTGGTAAATTATAGAGGCGCCAAAAACACTCGGCCATTTCTTCCGAGACCCTCTATTTGAACCCGCTGACTGTCAACGAATGTTTATACAATTCACAGCTATCCAAAAACAGTATTGGACTTTTTCACTACCCGCAACCGATCGCAGATATGTATACGCTTAAGTAGCACTGTTGCAGAGTTTTTTAAAATTATATCCGCAATCGGCGGATATATAAATAAAAAACCGACACAATATTAACCCAAAGCTTACTTGAACTCCATCCGAAACTTGACGAATTCCGTAACTAATAATAAGTAACTATTAATATTTCAGTAGTGTTAGCGGTTTATTTGGGATACCATTTGTATTTTGTTTTTGCAAAATAGTACTTTTAAGTACTTCGCTTTATTACAAGAGACATTTGGGTGTGAAAGGTTTTTTGTATAGAAGCAATAAATAGTTGGGGAGAATATCCCAACAAAAAAAAAACTAAGGGAACTGATGAGGATCAGTGGCGTGATACGAAACTATAGTCTTCCCTGCCTTACCCCTCGGCGAACAATGTCATACATTCCCCACTAATAAATAGTTTTTTTTTTATAAAAACAACAAACTGGGATTCAGCCTGACTATTTTGTTAAAACTAAATAAAATCAGAATATGTTGACTACTGTAAAATTTAGGTAAAGGATGATTTTTAAGCGCTATATACAAGTTATTCAAAAAATACATATACATTTTATTTGAATCTATAATTGAATTCATCCGCTTAGTCAAATTTTGGAAGTGCATCTTCGGCCAACTTTCCAAGAGCCCATTAACCAAATATTCTGCGATGCGGTAGGTCGTTCGATTTTAATTATTTTGAAAGGCTTCACATCTAAATCCGACGAGTCGATAATTGATGTCTGATGTAGCTGCAATATTTTCTTCAGTTCGCAATCTATGTAAACGTGTTGGTTGTTTAATCCCAAACAATGAAATTTTGTTGCGAAATTTAGTCCCAATAGCTCGAATAGCCGCTTCTGAGGCTCGTTTATACTGATCATAAAATGGTATAAGATTCATTACAAAAATTGTAGACCAAACAGAAGATGTTTGACAGTGAAACAAAACAGGAAACGAGTGTGTGTTGTTTAAACTAGTGTTGCCGAAAGATAGTTAAAAATCACTCTTGGTATCAATTTAAAAGTTAAATAATGTTCTGGAATATACTACCAAATTCTCAGCCTAAATACTGATTGACATCCATGGTTATTGATTGGCTAGATCCCTCCTCCATGTAAAATTTCGTGACGTTATAATCACCTCTAAACAACATAATGGTTTCGGTTCATTTCAGTCTGAAATATTATTTTTTCGGCAGATGGCTGTTCTGATAGATTTATCGTAAAGTATCGGTCGTCGAAAATGTCGATAAAATCGAAGAAATGATCGAAGTTGACCGTCATGTTAGCAGTCGTAACATCGCACAGGGGCTAAAAATGGACCATACAACTGTTTTAATCCATTTACAATTGACCAGAATTGGCCCACAGGAAAGGTGTCGTGTTTCACCAGGGCAACGCTAGGCCACACATCTAAAGTGACTCGCCAGAAACTTCGGGAGCTGAGTTGGGAAGTTTTAATCCATCCACCATACAATCCGGACTTGGCAAGAAGCGATTATCATATTTTTCTTGCATTGCAAAATTGTGAAAATCGACTACTGTTTTTTTTTTTTTTGTTTTTGCAAATAGAGAGTAGGACTTGTATGAGAGAGGCATTATTAAGTTACATTAAAAATGTTAACAAATCTGTATTTTGCCAGAACGGAATCTAATGCGAAATTTCGTAACCATTGTTTTTAAAAAGTTATATACTCAAGATTCAGCGATCATATAAAACAAATAAAACCATTAAGATCGGAAAGTCAAATTTTTCCTTCAAAATGCCGAAAACAGACCGGACTATGCTCTAATATTTAGGCAAGATGTATTTTATCCCCTTGGAAAATACCTAAAATGAGTCCAGTTCTTCATATGGGGACTATGTCTAAAAAATCGTCTTATATCCAATATTTTTTACAAATGATCTAGAATGTTTAGTAACAATATCCTAGGTTTGAAAAGGCGCCTAGACGATAAGAATACGAATATATATTTTCCGAATCCTTATTAAGAGCTATGTTAAAACGTGGACCAACATTGAAAAAAATGTTTTTCTAAGAATACCAAATGAAAAATGCTGCTAAAATATTAAAAGCGTGCGGTACCGAAACTATATCTGAAACCAAATAGCAATGTATACACAAAATTTCCTAGCTCTATGTGATCAAATATGTATACAGTGGAATTCGCTTATGGACCATTACACATATAGGGGAATTTCAGATATAGTCCAAAGGAGAATTTCAAAAAATGGTTGGAATTTTTGACCGTATGTTAAACTATGTGTAATGAATTATAAGTGAATTCTTTATGATGTCTTCGAATTTAATGTTCCACTCATATTATGGTGGAAAGAATAGAAAATTTTCTCATCATATGTGTACTGAGATTTCTTTAAAGGTTAGAGAAATTTTCCTTTCTTTTGAAGAAATGGCTCCGTTATTAGGGAGATAAAAGGATCCGGTTAAATAAAACCAGCATTTTTGGTAGCTTATTCTAGTCTTTTTCCTTCGAATTTTTAAAAACAATTGTTAAAAACTATATTTTTTCACATATTTTCTGCAGATTATTAAATTACCCAACATGTACATGGTGCAAACGGTGGACAGTGAAAAATTGGCCAACAATTTGAACTCAGCGTGGCAGAAATACGAAAAGGAGAACAAACAACCACTTAGTGTTCTTATACAAATTAATACAAGTGGTGAAGAAGGTAAGTTTTCCAAATAAATCAAATTGAAAATGATAAAAAATAAGAAAATATTTTTGCTTACAGCAAAAAATGGTGTACCACCCAGCGATGCCCCCAAACTGTACAAACACATTAAGGACAATCTAAAGGAACTTGATCTGAAGGGCATTATGACAATTGGTGCCTTTGGACATGACTACTCTAAGGGACCAAATCCTGATTTCATATCCCTGATGCAAGTCCACAAACAAATTTGTGAAGAAAATCAATTAAATGAGAAAGATGTACAGGTTTCAATGGGCATGTCGGATGATTTTGAAAAAGCTGTAAGTCATAAAAAAAATCAATTTTATTTTATTCTTTTTTTGTTTTCTAAAAATAAGAAAATGTAAACAAAACAAACGAATTCCTTTATGAGATGTGATGCATTGTGATGTTATAATTCGTTTTTCTCTTTTTCGTTTCTCCTTTCAGATTGAAATGGGCAGCACAATTGTACGTGTGGGAAGTTCTATTTTTGGTTATCGGGCTAAAAAACCAAGTGCTTAAGTCGTCGAGTCATATAATAAGCAGGAAAATAAAAACAATATGTTGTTGAGTCTTCTAAAATCACGCACACAATGATGTTATGTGCTATAAAAATAAAAAGAAACTCCAACACACGCATACATTTCAATGTTGTATGGAATTGGATTTTCAAAAAAGATCTAAACAAAAATATTTTATGTGTTAGAAAAAAGAAATTGTATTTGTTAAGTTTATATGATGCTGCTGTTACTTTGCTTTTTGTTTTAATTTTGAAATAGACCTAAAACACACATAAATACATACAAACTTATACAAAAAAAATATATATATATATATATTTGTATGAATGTGTTGTATGCATGTGAATGCCAAAGAATTCGTTTTGTAGTTTTATTTTATTTTTTCTTGATCTTAAATTTAGGACAATACACGGCAATTCATTTTCTAAATGACGCAGTATGTGGGAAACGGAAAAAGAGTCTTACACAAACACACACACATCTACGTATTAGTAAATAGGCACTAATCAACATATTACCAAATGCTTGTATGTAAACAACAATTGCGTTCCTTGTATAAAAGAAAAGTTTTTTCTTGTTGTTGTTAAAAATAAAACCAAACATCAATGTATATATCTAAATAAAATGCAATCTATGAAAAAAAGCTGAAGACAATTGGTCTATAAATTTTGTATACAATTTTATTCAATAAATGAAAAAAACTTAGTAATTTTATTGTTAGTAAAGAGAATTGATATGAATTGTCCTTTAAACATTTGCAATGAAATTAGTTTTTTATATCAATATCTGTGGTTATTTTTTGGTGCGGATATAGATACATAAAATTAAAAAATAAATAAATATACATATATAATTAAATTAAATGTTGGTAGAACTCGCAATATAAAATTATAGCCAAGAAAGACAATCAAAAATACCAAATTACGTTAATTCGGTTGAAAATAATACATACATTCTGAGGATATCGTTGGAGACTACCTGAATAATGGACCAATATACAAAATTGGTATCGCTACCAATATTCAAAATTTTTGGTAGGGAGATTTGCCATCTAAAGCATAGGCTTAACAGAAAAAATATATAAATCATTTAGAGACTCAGGGGGCAAATTATGTCAATCGATATCAATTTGTTTCGATCAATGTCCTTCAATTAGGTATGACCGCATTTCGTTAAAATGTCCTATAAAAACTATCGAGTGTTTGCCAGTAGCTTTTATTGGTGTCGAAACAGAAAAATACTAGCAAGAGGATTAAAGCCAGAATGGACTGAACATATAACACAATAAATAAATTATATTTTAGACAAATTAAGATTAAGATTTGAACAACACTGCATTAAATAATAAATGTGGCGTTGTTTCCTTAAACATGATAGAAAATATAACCTAATATGTTTTTAAACACTTCTAGAAAAGTCCTCCTTTTCGACAGCGGGCATAATCACTGGAACATCCGAATTTCAAAATTGCAACGCATATCTGGATCTGGAACCATGAAAATTTTTATTTAGGAATTTGCCTATTTTCGACCAAAAACCAAGCAGGAAGTGGTAGACATTATTGAGAAACTGAAATTTTATGTTAAGAAAAATAAAAAATCGATTTTTTGAAACCGAGCATGGGGTGGGGGATCCCTTTAATTATTCTTCAACTCTCGAATCCTTATTATCTTAAACCTAAACTAAATACTTAAAGACAAGCTTTTTTGAACTCCAAATATTCTGTAAAATGTAGGTTATAAGATTTTAAATATGTTCCTTCAAAGCGTGAATATTTTCATAGTCCTTTTCTACACTAACCCTACCCTTGCTTAGGAAACCGATCTTAAGGACCCCATCTAAAATCTTATGAGTGACATTTTTATACCCTCAGCATTATAGGTCTTAGACCTTATGTTTCTTTGTACCAATTCAGATAAATTGGAGTCGATTTACAAATTTCCGACTGTCCGTCCGTCTGTCTGGCCGGGTGGAGCGCACGGTAACCTTCTTGAGAAGCTGAAAGTTTATATTAAGAAAAATAAAAAAATCGATTTTTTGAAACCGAGTATGTTGGTGGGGATCCCTTTAATTATTATTCAACTCTCGAATCCTTATTATCATGAACTCCAAATATTCTGTAAAAAGTAGGTTAGACCTATGTTTCTTTGTACCAAATCAGATAAATTGGAGTCGATTTACCCATTTTCCGTCTGTCTGACTGGCCGGATGGTGCCCACGATAACTTTCGAAGGGAATAACCGATTTCACCCAAACTTGGCACATCTTAATATTTCCTCCAAACTTAGTTAAGGTTCCAAGATGGGGAATATCGGTCCACTCCTTCTGGTACCTCCCCCACAAAATGGTCAAAATGTTGCTAAAAATTAATGTTATAATAACAGGCAAACGGACAATCCGATTTTATCGAAACTTTGTTCAACCCATATCTTTACCAAGCCTAGATCTAGTAGGAAGATGGGACCCATTGGTCCACTCCATCTGGTACCTCCCCCACAGAGGTTCAAAATTTTCAATATTTTTAAATCCAATATCAGGCGATTGTAATGTCCGATTTGAACCAAACATTGTACAATCTATTTCTTTATCAATGGGACCCATTGGTCCACTCCTTCTGGTACCTCTCCCACAAAATGGTCAAAATTGTGATAAAAATTAATTTTATAACAACATGCAAACGGATTATCCGATTTTAACGAAACTTTGTACCACTTATTATCTTTACCAAGCCTATATCAAGTAGAAAAATGGGACCCATTGGCCCACTCCATCCGGTACCTGCCCCCCCCCCCAAAAGGTCAAAATTTTCAATATTTATAAATCCAATATTAGGCTAATGAAATGTACAATTTAAATAAAATTTTGCTCAACCAATTATCTTTCCCAAGCTCAGAACAAGTTTGAAGATGGGACCCATTGGTACACTGCCCCACAGAGGGTAAAATTTTTCAATATTTATAACTCCAATATCAGTTTAATGGAATGTCCGATTTGAAACAAGCTTTTCAAAATCTTTTATCTTTATCAAGTCTAGATCAAGTCCGAAGATGGGACCCATTGGTACACTACCTTCTGGTATCTCCCATATAAATAGTCAACATCCTCCGCAAACCATAGGGTGAGGGTATATATCTGTTGGCAACACCGATTGACACTTTTTTACTTGTTTTAAAACATATCCTCCTTCTATCTCGAGTCCTTATTATATTGAATCATAAACTAGATCTAGATATGTGTGTCCTTCCTTATGTCCATAGTAATTTGTAAACATGATACAGGCCACAGATATGGACCAATCTAAACGAAATTTTGGGGACCAAAAACTTCTTTTTGTCTGTTTTTCTGCTTCCTAAAAGTATGACCCGAATGTCATGAAAAGGGATCTAACAAAGGAATAAGGGCGGTACTTTTAATGATAATCGTTCAGTATTTAGTGGTTTAAATGGACCCACATTTTTGTGTGGGTCCTATGTCCTTTTCTCGCGAAATATTACCCAGGCTTACGTTTCAAAGTATGTCTGATAATCAAACAACTTGTTTTGTCCTTGGAAAGGAGGGGCATTGCAATGAATCAGTCGCCAAAATAGGTACTCTTCACTTTCGACGGAAAAATTTATTCGATTCTAAGCAATGGTACGTTTTTTCTTTTGGATGTTGACTGTGACTTTTAAGATACATCAACATAAAAAAAATCTTATAAAATGCTCTGCGAAAAATGTCGGGAATGTCGAATTAAGTACCTTACACCATCAAAATACCTATAAAGGAGGCGGGAACTTTATATGACGACTATGTGCAAACATTGACCTATATTTAACAATGCCAAGAACCCGAAATGGGACGGCAATGAATGCTATGCCAAAACATGGACCTATATTGAATGATTTTTCGCAGAATATTATCCTTCACCATTTGCCGTATTTTAATGGTCTTAGGCGAAATTTCCAATAGAAGGGACAGTAAGGTTTCCTCTAGATATGCGTGTCCGTCCGTCTTGATAAATTTTATAAACTTTTTAACTCGTCTGTGAAAGTTATACCACAACTAGCCATTTTCGTGTCACTCCCGTCTCATGATAACTTTGACGTTTCTGTATGGTTTTTATTCCTTTAGGAGAAGTATCTAAGCGAATTTAGATCACGTAATGACTTTAATTTGCGTTGTTTGCCTTTTTTCGATAAGGATAAAATAGGTTTTGCATGAAATGCGTAATTTAACATATCAGATTATAAGATCAAATTAGTTGATGTTCTCTATTATTTTCAGTTTTTTTTTTTTATTTTATCAAAAATTCACTGGGATTTTGGCTAACAACAACTGGCTTCATGCCTGACCAAGTAGTATTAGGAAACTCGTAGATATCTTTTTCGGTGATTTCTTCTTCTTTCATTCGTTTAACAAACAAAACATTTTCGACGAGGTCATATTAAGCGAAAATTCTTGGCCCCCTGCCAAATGTACCTTTAGAACAATTTCACGAAGGAAAAAATACAATTTCTCTCTTTTCTTTAAATTTTCTATTTCGTTTACCGTGTGTGTGATGTTTCATTTCACTTCAATGATGGTGGTAAATGCCATAAAGTATTTTGTATTTTTGCCCTGAAATGTATACAAAAAATAAAAAATGAAAATATACGAGAAATGTTTTCGTTTTTTTTTTCGAAATGTACAACAACGAGAGTACAAAACGAATCTAACAATAAAAATTGAAAATAGATTTTTGTTTTTTGAAAACACATAGAGATTGAGATTTTGATGAGTAAATATGTGTTTGATTATACTGTGGATCATTTGAAAAGGGGAACGATTTATTTCTATTTTTATTCCCTCCACAATATTTAAGATAGAACTTTGAATCTATTCATTATTACTCTTAGTATATTACAGAATATTTGACGGTTTCGCCTCATTTTCGGTATTTTGAATATACGGGTTTTTGGTGAAACCCCTATATGCAGAAAATTGTTCAATATAGAATCATATTTTGACATATTTCCCATATAATGTTA